AGTGGGAATGGGAGTGGGAGTGGGAATGGGAGTGGGAATGGGAGTGGGAATGGGAGTGGGAGTGGGAATGGGAGTGGGGTTGGGAATGGGAATGGGGTTGGGAGTGGGAGTGGGAATGGGGGAGCCCCAGGAAGGAGGAACAGCAGGGAATGGGGCTGACCAAACCCAAAACCAAACCCCTTGGGCTCAGAGCTCTGACCCCCCTGGGGAACTGCCTTAATTAGCCCTTGGTTAATCAGGACCAGTTGGTTTCATTTCATCATTACATTTTATCACCATTTTATATTTAATCCTTACCATTTTACCATCATTTTTTAATTTAATCCTTACCAGTTTACCATAATTTTTGTTTAATCCTTACCATTTCACCACCATTTTTAATTTAATCCTTACATTTATTACCATTTTTAATTAAATTCTTACATTTATTACCATTTTTAATTTAATCCTTACCATTTGTTACCATTTTATTAACCATTTTTGTTTAATCATTACAATTTTTGTTACATTTCATGATCAATATTTAATCCTTACAATTTTTATTAATATTTTATTAACGATCTTAATTTAATTTTATTACCATTTCATTACCATTTTTAATTTAATCATTACCATTTTTGTTACCATTTTACCACCATTTTTAATTTAATCCTTACAATTTTTGTTACCATTTAATTAACACTATTTATTTAATATTTACATTTTTATTAATATTTTATTAACAAATTGTATTTAATTTTATTACCATTTAATAATTTTTATTGAATCCTTACCATTTTATCGTCATTTTAAATTTAATTATTACCATTTTTACAATTTTTAATTTAATCCTTACCATTTATTACCATTTCATTTACATTTTTAATTTAATCCTTGCCATTTTATTACCATTTTATTACCCTTCTATATTTAATCATTACCATTTTTGTTACCATTTCATTAACAATATTTATTTAATCCTTACCATTTTTATTACCATTTTATTACCAATTTTTATTTAATTTTATTTAATTACCCTTTTTATTGAATCCTTTCCATTTCTATTACCATTTTATCAACATTTTTTATTTCATTAGCACCATTTTTATTCCTTACCATTTTTATTACCATTTTATTACCATTTTTATTTAATCCTTACCATTTTATTATAATTTTTATTTAACCCTTACAATTTTTATTGCCATTACATAACCAATATTTATTTAATGCTTACCATTTAATCACCATTTCTATTTAATCCTTACCGTTCTGTTACCATTTCGTTACCAATTTTTATTTAATTTGATTTCATTACCGTTTTTATTTAATCCTTACCATTTCTATTAACATTTTTATTACTATTTTTATTTAATCCTTACCATTTTTATTACCTTTTCATTACCAATTTCCCTCCTTCCAAGGGGTTTGGGTTGGGCTGTCAGTGCTCACTGGAGATGATTTCCCTCATCCCACGGGGTTTGGGTTGGGATTTCAGTGCTTTGAGGTGAGGTTTGGGTTGAGGTTGGGATGTCAGGGCTTGGTTTGAGGTGGTTTCCCTCATTCCAGGGGGTTGGGATGGGCTGTCAGTGCTTGGTTTGAGGTGAGGTTTGGGTTGGAATGTCAGGGCTTGGTTTGGGGTGATGTTTGGTTGGGCTGTCAGTGTCTCACTGGAGGTGATTTCCCTGGTTGAATTTGGCTGTCAGTGCTCTGTTAGAGGTGAGGTCTGGGTTGGACTGTCAGTGTTTTTTATTGGAGATGATTTCCCTCATTCCAGGGGGTTGGATTGGGCTGTCACTGGTTTGGGTTGGGTTGGGATGTCACTGTTTGGTTTGGGTTGGACTGTCAGTGTTTTATTGGAGATGATTTCCCTCATTCCAGGGGGTTGGGGTTGGGCTGTCAGTGCTTGGTTTGGGTTGGTTTGGGTTGGGCTGTCAGTGCTTGGTTTGGGCTGGGATTTCAGTGTCTGTCTGGAGATGGTTTCCCTGATTCCAGGGAGTTGAGGTTGGGATGTCAGTGTCTCACTGCAGATGAATTCCCTCATTCCAGGGGTTTGGGTTGGGATGTCAGTGTCTCACTGGAGGTGATTTCCCTGGTTTCAGGGGGTTGGATTGGGCTGTCAGTGCTTGGTTTGGGTTGGGATGTCAGTGTTTTATTGGAGATGATTTCCCTCATTCCAGGGGGTTGGGGTTGGGCTGTCACTGGTTTGGGTTGGGATGTCAGTGTCTGTCTGGAGATGGTTTCCCTGATTCCAGGGAGTTGAGGTTGGGATGTCAGTGTCTCACTGCAGATGAATTCCCTCATTCCAGGGGTTTGGGCTGGGATTTCAGTGTCTCACTGGAGGTGGTTTCCCTGGTTTCAGGGGGTTGGGCTGTCAGTGCTTGGTTTGGGCTGGGATTTCAGTGTCTGTCTGGAGATGGTTTCCCTGATTCCAGGGAGTTGAGGTTGGGATGTCAGTGTCACTGCAGATGAATTCCCTCATTCCAGGGGGTTGGATTGGGCTGTCACTGGGTTGGGTTGGTTTGGGTTGGGCTGTCAGTGTCTCACTGGAGGTGATTTCCCTGGTTTCAGGGGGTTGGATTGGGCTGTCACTGTTTGGTTTGGGTTGGGATGTCAGTGCTTGGTTTGGGTTGGGCTGTCAGTGTCTCACTGGAGGTGATTTCCCTCATTCCAGGGGTTGGATTGGGCTGTCACTGTTTGGTTTGGGTTGGGATGTCAGCGTTTTATTGGAGATGATTTCCCTCATTCCAGGGGGTTGGGGTTGGGCTGTCAGTGCTTGGTTTGGGCTGGGATTTCAGTGTCTGTCTGGAGATGATTTCCCTGATTCCAGGGAGTTGAGGTTGGGATGTCAGTGTCTCACTGCAGATGAATTCCCTCATTGCAAGGGGTTGGGGCTGGGATTTCAGTGTCTCACTGGAGGTGATTTCCCTGGTTTCAGGGGGTTGGGCTGTCAGTGTTTGGTTTGGGTTGGGATGTCAGTGTTTTATTGGAGGTGAATTCCCTCATTCCAGGGGGTTTGGGCTGGGATTTCGGTGTCTCACTGGAGGTGATTTCCCTGGTTTCAGGGGGTTGGATTGGGCTGTCAGTGCTTGGTTTGGGCTGGGATTTCAGTGTCTCACTCGGATGGTTTCCCTCACTCCAGGGCGTGACCCACCGGCTGCGGGGCAGCCTCACGGCCATCAGGACCAGAGCTCCTCAGCTCGGAGGTACCGACACTCCCGAGTTCGGAATTTTAATTCATTGAATTAAATTAATGTAATGAGTTAGTTTAATTTAAATTTAAATTCTGAAGTTTGGAAATTTAATTTATTGAATTAATTCGAGTCGTTATTAATTAATATATAATCTATTAGTAATAATTAATTTTAATTAATATGATTAATTTAATTCATTCCCTGGTTTCCTGGCAAAATAAATTAATTTAATGAATTGAGTTAAATTCCATTTAAATTCCCAAGTTTGGGAATTTAAGTTATTAAATTATTAATTGTTAAATTCCATTTAAATTCATTTAAATTATTAAATTATTAATTATTGCATTCCATTTAAATTCCCAAGTTTAGGAATTTAAATTATTAAATTAAAATAATGTAATTGTTTACTTTAATTCATTATTAATATAGAATTAATTTATAATAATCAATATTAATTAATTAATAATATAAATAATTTAATTCCTTCCCTGGTTTCCCAGGGAATTAAATTAATTTAACGAATTGATTTACATTTCATTTTAAATTCCCAAGTTCGGGAATTTAATTTATTAAATTAAATTTAACTAACTAATTTAATAATGAATTTCAATTCCATTTAAATACCCAAGTTTGGAAATTTAATTTATTAAATTAATTTAATTTAATCAATGTAATGAATTAATTTGAATTGCATTTAAATTCCCAAGTTCGGGAATTTAATTTATTAAATTAAATTTAACTAACTAATTTAATAATGAATTTCAATTCCATTTAAATACCCAAGTTTGGAAATTTAATTTATTAAATTAATTTAATTTAATCAATGTAATGAATTAATTTGAATTGCATTTAAATTCCCAAGTTTGGAAATTTAGTTTATTAAATTAAATGAATGAATTTAATGAAATGATTTAAATTTCACTTCAAACCCTAAGTTTGGAAACTTAATTTAATACATTAATTTAACTTAATCAATGCAATGAATTAATTTGGATTGCATTTCAATTCCCCAGTTTGAGTGATCCCCGGAATGACAGGGCGGGGATTTCCCGTTTACTCTGATTTCACCTGCTTTGGGTGGGTTGGGGCTGCACTCCCGGGATTCCCAGGAGGCATTCCCAGGTTTCCAGGGAGGCATTCCCTGTATCCCAGGGCAGCATTCCCTGTATCCCAGGCAGCATTCCCAGTTTCCCAGGGCAGCATTCCCAGTTTCCCTCCCTCATCCCTGTCCTCGCAGGCAGCTTTGCCGTGTGGGGGGGCCTGTTCTCCATGATCGACTGCAGCATGGTCCGAGTGCGGGGCAAGGAGGATCCCTGGAATTCCATCACCAGCGGAGCCCTGACCGGAGCCATCCTGGCTGCACGGAGTAAGAACCCGGGAAAACCCATCCCAAATCCCTGGGAACCCCCAGACATTCCAGAGCAGAGCGTGGGACACCCCCACTGGGATCTGCTTCCCACTGGGCAATCACCCCAGACTTCCCTTAGGAAAGGAATTCTCAGGTTCCCGAAGGTTCCTGGAGTTCCTGGAATTATCCCTTAACAAGCCCCTTAATGGATGGGAAGTTGCTGAGTCAGCTTTTGGGAGAGGTGACAATGCCCAGGGAGGGTGGGGAGGGGCTGGGATGGAATTCCCAGGGGATGCCCCATCCCTGGCAGTGTCCAAGGCCGGGCTGGAGCAGCCTGGGATGGAGGGGGTGTCCCTGCCCAGGGATGGGATGGGATGAGCTCTGAGTTCCCTCCCAGCCCAGCCCAGGATTTTTGGAATTTCTGCTGTGGAAGCCGAGGCAGCTGAGAATTCCAGAGTGTGTTTGTGTTTCCCTCTCCAGACGGGCCCGTGGCCATGGTGGGATCTGCTGCCATGGGGGGGATCCTCCTGGCCCTCATCGAAGGAGCTGGAATTCTGCTGACCAGATTTGCCTCCACCCAGTTCCCCAACGGTGAGGAGCCAGCACGGGGGGGATTCCCAACCTGGCTCTGCTGCTGGGCCCCTGCTCATCCCACCGGGAATCCGGCAGCTCCTGCGGCTCTGGAAAGCCAAGGAGACCCCCGGGATATCATCCCATCCCCAGGATATCATCCCATCCTTCTGGGTTGCTCCAAGCCCCGTCCAACCTGACCTTCTGACAGTATTCCATCTGTCCCTCCCTCTGGCACTGGGAAGCCATTCCCTGTGTCCTGTCCCTCCATCCCTTGTCCCCAGTCCCTCTCCAGCTCTCCTGGAGCCCCTTCAGGCCCTGGAAGGGGCTCCAAGGTGTCCCTGGAGCTTTTTGTTCTCCAGGGGAACATTCCCAGCTCTCCCAGCAGAAATGCTCCACCTTACTTTGGGAAGAACCCAAACCATTAACGTTGGATGAGCAGCCCTAGGGCAGGAGTGGGACTGAATGGGCTTTAAGGTCCCTCCAACCCAAACCATCCTGGGATTCTCTGACAGAGAGATTTAGGATTTCCCACAGTCACCAACTCCACTGACAGCCCAGCTCCTGTTTTACTTGGAAAAAAGAGAAAAGGAATGTGGGGTTTGAAGCAGTTCAGGGAAAAAAACCCAAACCAGCCTTCCTGGAAATGGGTTATCTGTGTCTGCCCGGCCCTTATCAGCCCTTCAGCCGGGCTGCCCACACACCCCCCCCCCGCCACGACCTTCCCTGGGCTGCCAAAAGGTGTTCTGGAGCCAGGCTGGGAGAGCTGGGAATGTTCCCCTGGAGAAGGGAAGGCTCCAGGGACACCTTGGAGCCCCTTCCAGGGCCTGAAGGGGCTCCAGGAGAGCTGGAGAGGGACTGGTGACAAGGGATGGAGGGACAGGACACAGGGAATGGCTTCCCACTGCCAGAGGGAGGGATGGATGGGAGATTGGGAAGGAATTGCTGGCTGGGAGGATGGGGAGGGGCTGGGATGGAATTCCCAGAGAAGCTGTAGTGTCCCTGGATCCCTGGGAGTGTCCAAGGGCAGGCTGGAGCAGCCTGGAATGGTGGGAGGTGTCCCTGCCCAGGGCAGGGGTGGGATGGGATGGGATTGAAGGTCCCTCCAACCCAAACCATTGCAGGAAACTTCTGAAACTTCCTGAGAAACCCAGACCACGCTGGGATTGACGATGAATTCCGAGGGGGATTTATCTGAACTGTTTGTAGGAGGAATTTCCTGCTTTCTGGGATTGATTTGCCT